TTTCAGTGGACGAGACTTGTTATTAGGTTTGCCTAAACGACTAATTTTTATTGGTTTAATTATTGAAAATGCGTGTTATTGAATCAGTATCAGTGATATTATCGTGGCTAGATTGTTCATGCACATTAAAAATGATAATATTTTTAGAACGATTTTGACGGTCGATAAATTCAGCAAACATGTCATGATTATCGTTGGACTTTGGAGCAGCTGATTCCAACAGGTCAACACGGTTTTTGATATCAGTCAAATCATAACGAAGCACACTATTTTCATTTTTGATACTTGATAATTGAGAGAAGATTTCGTGGAATTTATTGTCGAAAGAATTAAGTTTTTCATTTTGCGCATTGACCAAATCAATAAGTTTAGCTTGCTCAGCGCGTAAGTTATCGAGATGGCTGATGATTAATTTCAAGTCGGGTTCAGTAGTAGAGAGTGAAGTAAGAGGTTGAATAGAGTTACCAGTGACAGAAATAATATTTTTAGATTTTTAGTACAAGTAACACAAGACCATGATTTATTCAAACTATTTAAATAGTCAATATCATCTTGTTTCAACGAAGCACAAGTAAGGTGGTATAATTTAGAGCAGGAAGAACACGTAATCGAGTCGTTTTGACCGCGTTTAATACTCACGGCACAAGTGACACATAAACCCATATTATATGATTGATATAGCGATAAGAGGTAGATACTGGTAAATACTTATAGAAACGCGGAGCACAAACGGAGATAACACACGTGCGTACGCTGTGGCGGTTGACGACGAACTATGAGCTTATCATCGTCAGTTGTTTTTCTGTTTATGAATATGAAGATTGTAGTTTGAACTCATTGATATGTGTTCTGATTGTATAATTTTTTCTAAATTTTTTTTTGGTTTTCTAAAATGCATTTGCCTGCGGGTGCCAACACTCCCCTTCAATTTTTTTTTTTATTAATTTGACTAGTAGAATTTTTTGGACAGTCATGCTTATTGATTACCTTCAGGTGCCCTTTGTAATATCATTCTTTAATGAGCTTATCATCGTCAGTTGTTTTTCTGTTTATGAATATGAAGATTGTAGTTTGAACTCATTGATATGTGTTCTGATTGTATAATTTTTCCTAAATTTTTTTTTGGTTTTCTAAAATGCATTTGCCTGCGGGCGCCAACACTCCTCTTTAATTTTTTTTTTAGGAATTTGACTCTAGTTGAATTTTTTGTATAGACTTGTATATTTATCAAGCAGGTGCCCTCTGTTAAACAAGCATCTATTTTCATTAAAATGTTGAACCATCAATAATAAATAATAAACAGTAAAATTTGAATTCCTAAATATAATTGTATTTTCATTGTAATTATAATTAATATAAAATTCTGAAATAAGTAAAAAATAGTTATAAAATATATTATTATTAATATCAAATAGTACTTAAAATGAAATAATAAAATATATTATTAAATATATATTATTATTATATAAGTAAAAAATGTATATTTATATTTATTTATAATAGTATATAATTCCTAATTTTTTAAATAATAAAATTTTTATCTAAGCAAATCAAAATTTGTATGTTTTAAATGAAGATACCTAATGTTTATCTTCTTCTTCTTCTTCTTCGGTAAACTCGGCCACTAGGACCATCCCGACATACATCCTTGCCTCCAGTTTTCTCTATTCGATGCCTGTAATCTCCAATCTTCTCCTCCACCTAATGCTTTCACATCATCCCTAACTCCGTCCTCCCATCTCCGACGTGGTCTTCCCAGCGGTCTTTTTCCTTTAGGGTTCTCCTCCAGTACCATACGTATGAGTGGGTTTTGACTACGCCAGGCATGCCCAGCCCAAAGCAATCTTTTGTTCTTTATTGTTTCGAGTATACTGGGTTTATGAAAGAGTGTCTCTAGTTCATCATTTTTCCTTATTCTCCATTCCCCACTAAGCATGTCTTTTACTGGTCCAAAGATCTTCCTCAGTATTTTTCTTTCCAGAACTAAGAGTTCATCACTTTTCCTTAATGGCCACGCCTCAGCTCCATAAGTAATAACATGTCGTATTAATGTGATGTATAATTGTAATTTTAACTCTCTTGAAAGTGATCTTGATCCCAGTAATTTCGCAAGACCATAAAGGCATTTATTTCCTGATTGAATTCTTGTTCCTATTTCTATTTCGATTTCATTTCTCTCTGAAAGTATGGATCTTAGGTACTTAAATTGTCTTGTTCTTTTGAAATTTCGGTTGTTGATGTTAAGAGATGGATATAATCTTATAGTGTCTCGTCTTCCTACTACCATATATTCCGTTTTGTCCTCATTGATATGGAGTCCAACTTTCAGTGCTGCTTTCTCCAGCCGGTTTAATAAATATTTTAGGCCGTCTTGTGAATCCTCCATGATCACCAGATCATCTGCATAAGCCAGAAGTCCTATGGACGATTCCTGGAATTTAACTCCTTCTTGCGGTGTAATATTCATCTCTCTTACAACTTTCTCTACTACTATATTAAATAAGATTGGTGACATAGCGTCTCCCTGTCTTAATCCCGATTTAACTAAAATTTGGTCTGAGTTTGTATTTCCAACCTTAACTTTGACAAATGTTTCCAAAATGCTTATCCCAATCAGTTTTATAAGCTTGTCCTGAAAATGGAATTCTCTCAAGATGTTTATTAAGCTTTCTCTATGGATGCTATCATACGCCTTCTTAAAATCTATGAAAAGAACGTGTATTTCTCTATCGAACTCCCAGATTTTTTGAAATATTTGTCTTAAAATAAATATCTGGTCTGTGGTAGATCTTCCAGGTCTGAAGCCACCTTGGTAATTGCCAATAATTTGTTCTGCTTTTGTTTTTATTCTTGTTAATAGGCAATTTGAAAAAATTTTATACGCCACGTTTAAGAGGGCTATCCCACGATAGTTATTTCAGTCTTGTTTACTTCCTTTTTTATGAATTGGACAAATCACCGCTGTCTTCCACTCTTCAGGCATTTTTTCAGTTGTCCAGACTTCGTGAATTACCTTCCATAACCACTTTACCATTTCCTCTCCGCCTTCCTTTAAGAGCTCTGATTGAATGTCATCCTCTCCGGAGGATTTGTTATTCTTTAGCATGTTTATCTGTAATTTTATTTCCTCCAAGGTTGGTTCTTCACAATCCTGTGATTCTTGGATTTCCTGATTAAAATTAAAATTAAAGGTTTCATTTGGTTCTTCGCAGTTTAGCAACTTTTCAAAGTAGCTAGCCCATTTCTTTGCCAACTCTTCACTTGTAGTTACCAGGGAGCCATCATCATCCCTTAGAAATCTTTCTTTCTTTTTGTATCCACCTCTGAGATCATTCACTCGCTTATACATATCCCTAGTTCTGTGTGTTTTATACTCGAGTTCTGCTGTTTCTAATATGTTTTGAACGTATTTCCTCTTTTCACATCTCAATATCTTGCTGGCTTCTTTTTGGCGAGTTCTAAATCTTCTCAGTGTTACTTCGTTGTTAGTGTCAATTAACCACTCTTGTCTTGCTAATTTTCTTCTTTGTACAGCTTCTTCACAAATCGTATTGAACCATGGTTTTGTTTTCGATACTTTTTTCCCAAGACTTTCGTTGATGCTTCATTTATGCTTTCTTTTACATGTTCCCATGTTTTATCAACATTTAAGTTTCTTTCTATATCTAGTTGTTTACTTTTAATAATATTCTGAAAGCACTCTACATACTCTTTGCATATTTGTTTGTCCTTTAGTTTATTTATATCGGTTCATCCTTTGTTTGTTAAATTACCTTTCTTATATTTCTTAATTTTAACTTTCATCCATATACCAACCAGTAGGTGGTCCGAGTCCATATCAGCTCCCCGTAAAGTTCTTATATTCAGAATACTATTTTTTAATCTATTATTTATTAGGACATGGTCAATTTGGTTTTTATGTCTCCCATTCGGCGAGATCCATGTATATTTATGTATGTCTTTTCGTTGGAACATAGTACTTTTGACCACCAAACCCTTTCCTAAAGCGAAGTCGATTAGTTTAGTACCATTATCGTTGGTGCTGGAATGTAGGCTGTAGTTTCCAATAGTCGATTTGTAGCACTCTTCCCTTCCTATTTTTGCATTGAAATCGCCTAGTACTAATTTTATATCACCTTTTGACATGCTAAACGTATCTTCTAGTGTTGCATAAAACAGCTCTTTTTCTTCTTCATTCTTATCCTCAGTTGGAGCATGCGCGTTGTTTAATACCATGTCAAAATTGTCTGTTTTAATTGTTAAAGTTGTAATTCTCGGATTTATATCTCTAAACTCCTTTACTGAATGTATAATTGATTCGTGCACAGCAAAACCGGTTCCCAGTTTATGACCTTTTTCGCATTTTCCGTTGAAGATGGTTGTTTGAGACACTTTTGTTGACCCGGCATCTTCCCATTTAATTTCTTGAAGTGCTACACACTTCGTTCCATATTTTTCTAATTCCTTGACCAAATCCAAAGCCGCACCTGATTTGTGCAGAGATCGCACATTCCAAGTACCCCAAAATTGTTCTGTTTTCCAGTTTCCAGTCGTTTTACCATATACTCTAGTCCGAGGCTTGTTGTATGAATCCTGAACAAAAAGCTTTTTACAAGGCAGGGTCGTCAACCCTGCGCTCAACCCCCAACCTGGAGGACCAGACTACCCCAACCAATTAAGGTCAGGGTAGGGCTACTGCAGCATACTTGGTAAGGTACACTGGGCGATGGGCGCGCCAATTTCCCTAGGCCCGAACCTAATTTTTATAGTCTAGAGAAATACTCTCTTATCAATTGTTGTCTTGCACAACCTTCTTCATCTATTACTTCATGATTAACATTGATTATTTCATTTGGTGGTAATACTACGTCTATTAGATCAGGGGCTTCTAAATCATTGTTATCGCATGCAATGTTATGTAATATAGAACAAGCAACAATTATAGCTTATCATGTAGTTAGCTTCAAGCGTAGACCAAGAGATAAAATTGGGAATCTACGTTATGAATCTCCATATGTTCTTTCTACTGGATTTCTGGTTCTAATTATTGACTCATTGTACAGCTCTTCAATATTTCCCCTTGGATTTATAAAAGGAGTCACAATATGACTGGTATTTTTATATCCACTATCTGCAACAATTAAGCTATTTCCCCATTTACCATTAACCAATTGACTGTAAATATTTGAATTTTTGAAAATTGTTTGATCATGGCAAGATCCTGGCCAGCGAGCTACAATGTCCATTATTTTTAAATCAGGCGAAACAACTGTTTGGACGTTCAATGAAAAATATCCTTTTCGGTTTTGAAAATACTCAGCATTATGACCTCCTAAAATATTATTATAATTATTATTTTATGTGATACATAAAAATATGTATCTGCTAGTAAAAAAGAGTAAATTTGTTTTTGCAACATCATAGGCAGTAACACCCTAGGGCATTAAAAAATAATAATTGAGGAGGTGTTAGTACAGATGTTTTATTGGTGATTAAGATACCAGACTTCCACCTGTGTATAGCATTACAATATAAATTCTTTTTATATGAAGTTACTAGTTAGTAATAATAGTTAATAATAATCAATAACCTGGGCTTTGAATTCGAATATGTGTGCAATCTATTGCACCTATAGCTCTCGGAAATCTAGCAATTTTGTAAAAACATCTCTGTAATGTATACACTTCTTCATCTGTAGTTGGCATACGAATAAATTGATGACATAGGCTTGCAATAGCTGTGCTAACAGTACGAACAATTACACATGCAGAAGATTTACTAACACCGAGAAAGTCACCAGCAGTAATAAGAAAACTTCCTGTTGCATAGAATCGCAGTGTTAATAATAATTTGTCTATGGGTGCTATTGCACAATTCCTTTAGAAATAAAGAGAAATTAAAAAATATTATTAAAAAATTAAAGATTATTAATTGGAATTGTATAGACCGATTCCAACATGTATAGTAGGTTGCCATTTAAAAATAGTAAGGTGTATCATATTGATGTGAGATAATTATAAATAAATTTAGAATGGTGTAATGAATGTTGGTTTAATACTTGAAAATACTTGCAAACTTATATTTTAATTTCATAAATACAACATTTTACCTTACTATTTTTGTACAAAATAGGAAGTACCTACAATTATTTTTATATTTTATTTGTTTAAAGCAACTTTTTAATTTTTTTATCCAAACTTACCATTGGTTTTCTACAGATATATTGTCCGTTATTAATTCTAAAACTTGTTCAACAACAACTTTAGAAAGTCTAAACCTTATCCTAAAATCATGATCATCCCATTTTATCATATGATTAATTCTATCTCGTACCGTGTAAGGTCTTCGACGATAATTAATAAACTCTAATATTTCGTCATCGTCGTCATCAAATAAAATATTTGGCTGAAAATTCATTATATTATAATAGTTATTTATTCTAAACAAAAATTTAGGTCAGGTACCTACACATAAAATTTATATATTTTGAAACAAAGTTGTACAATACAATCATATAATGATGAGGTAGTTTATTTTTTTAATAATAATATAATAATAATGTATAAACTCTATATTGTTTTAATCCTTCAGTTAAACATTTAACTAGTAGAAAAAGTAATCGATAACTTAACCAACACTTTATCCTACAGTTATGTTTAACCATTAACTGATAAACTGAAAAGTTTCAGTTAACTCTCTGTTAAATTTAACTGATAGTTAAATGTCTCTAACTAGCAGTTAAATATGACTGAAAAACCGGGCCTAAGCCGTATATATTATTATGTAAGTTTTAACACGAATTCGCAGTACTCCACCATGGAACATTTTCGACAGACGATGCGAAATGGATTTGACGGGGGAGATGATACGAGAATGAATTTCATCATAGTCGCGTCCACGGAGTTTGTCAACAACGTGTTGGATTAGGTTCGTATGGTTTTGGAGCCGAGTGATCATTTGATGCGACGTACTGTGGACGACAACAGCTTAGCCGAAAGAGATGGATCGTCGTCCGTCGATAATCGATGGATCATTAGAAATCTCGCCAAGAGGATTGATCGATGAGATGTTTCATGTTTGACGAGATTGCAGTAACTCGGCTGTGGAATGGACGCATTCGTCCGAGTCTGTGATTTCAGACGACAACCACGACGATGCAGAAGGACTCCTGCTGCACCTGTCGGTCTCTGCTGCAACTGCAGCTCAGTTTGATTCCACTAGAGAACTAGTAGCAGTGAGCACTAGGTATTTTCGTGGAGATCGGGCGTCCCTGCAGCAGAACAAGGGAGTGGTAAGTATCGTCGGCGTTGATCAGGTCAACGAGACAGGCGTCGAGAAGCGCCCTAACCCAATCGAACCGACGCCGATGACATCGCTCCGATTTGAATTCCAGGTACCCGAAGAGTCCCCAACTTCGTCCGCTGACAAAGAAGAGAAAATTTGGGTATCCGACCGGAAGCAGACGTGTAGGCCTTTGGAATCGCAGCCAAATCACCCGTCTGCAGACGAGTGGCGATCGTGGCCATCCGCGGACGAGGAGGAGACGATGTGTTCGTCTTAGCTGGTACCAATGAGGCTGTAGGTAGCGATATAGAAGGAGTGATCTGCACTGAGCCAACGGCAAAAAAACTTAGGTCGTTCCTGTCGGCACTTGGGAGACGTACTCTGAGTGCAGGCAGAAAGTTGTGTTGTTGCGTTGGCGGTCGACGTGAACTGCGTTGAGCTACGGACACACCGTTGGAATGAATGTTTAAAAATGATGTAGTGTGTGCAAATACGACACCATGGAAGCCGTTTATATACATGAATAATTCGTATAAAACAATAATAGTTATAATAATTATAATAATAGTATGTAATAGAAAATATTAAATTTCATTTGGCTTATTGTGAAAGCTCAAACACCTTCTCATAGTCATACTTACTATGTAATTATTTTTAAGTTATAATCTGATATTTTGTTATTGATATAGTTCCCCTCTAGTATTTGGGCTAGTGCTAGTTAGTTCTAATACAAGTATTTCAAACGTTGATAAAAATTTAATTTGAGATTCTTGTAGACTTTTTTTTTTGATAAAAGTAGACAAACTTATGAGGAATCTTGCATTACATTTTCATATCTTAGATTTAAAAAGAAAAATTTTTATGAATTTCTAACTCGAAATAATTTGCAAATTTTGGTCATTTTGTAGTAGGTATGTCATTTTGTAGTTTGTTAATATTTGGAATTTAAATGCTTATAACAAAAAACTGTGAGTAAGGATTTTTAATATTTTTCATCTGTCTTTGAAACAATATATTAGGAGCCTTCTATTAAATGTTTAAGCTTTTATACCCAACAAATAACATTTTATTGATACTTATAGAAAAAAAAACTAAAAAAAATGGAAACTAAAAATGTCCGTAAAAAGCTCAAAATAACTCAAAATATTTAGAAAATTTTATCATGTATAGAAAATGGAAGTATAAATAACCAGTGAAAATTTCATATATCTACGGTCATTTGTTTTAATGTTACACCAAAAACCAAAATCAATTTTCTCGAAAACAGATTTTGCGTAAAAATTCCCGGTTTTCCTTAATTTTTCTTTTGTTTTTCACGGCGCTTTTGAAAACTACTGTGAAATTTTTGCTTTTGACCCCCCCAAAGTACCAACTAGATTCACTTTCCTATCAGAAAAGATATTGTTGAAGAAAATCCAAGCACTTTTACTGTCCTAAAAGATGATGACAGACAAAAAAAAAAAAAAAATGAATTCGTGAATTCGTAAACAGTTGTCAATATTTGTAATAAAAAGAAAAATTCCGAACCAATAAACCACGATAGTTTATAAATGATTGGTGAAATACTGAAATAAACTTAGGGTGCTAGTTTGAAGCTTGGGGGTGCTAAGCACCCCCAAGCACCCCCCTATGTGCGCCTATGTTCATGATCCATGATTGCGCAAAGACTTTGTTGATGTGTCTTCGATGATGGAATGTGGACACGAATGAACATTTTTTAGATAATTTGTCGAATTATTAAAATGTAAGACAGAACCATAGATAATGTATTATATTGTCCACCGTCATCGTCATCGTGAATCGTTGACCGACCCCATTTTACTTATTTGTACCTACAGTCGCTGCGGGTAAACATGTCTTAAATGTTATTGCTACACTATGAATTAGCTGCGGCCTGCGGGCTTCGGCATCATCATCGACCTCAAAAGATTTTTAAAGATATTCAAAGTAATGTTAATGATATGCCAAATAAACTAAAATAATTGTAATAACTCAAAAATACGATAATTATAAATAAAACGACTCCTGACGATAGTTAGATATATTAAAACCTAATGTTAAAATTAGGTATCTGTATGATTCTATTCACTTATAAGTGCTGGAGAATATTACCAGATCCAGATGCAAGTACTAAAATTGGGCTGTTACCTCCAGGTGTTGGGAGGGCTCTCGAGATCGTATATTCGAGAATTTGATCAAACACACCGTACAATATAATTGCAAATTGAAAATACACATAAAATGCAATATCCGCAATCAATATAAAATGTTATATTAAATACCTTCACCTGTCTGTGAAGACAAAATGGTAAATGCTATACAAATTAGGTACTTTCTAAATTAGCGGGCGGCCTTGTTTATATGTCCTCCCAATGGTCAAATTTCCCAGCAGACCTAACCTAACCTAACCTAACCTAACCAGATGTAAAAATGTTGTTCGTTTTTGGCCATTGATGTGAACATGGTAGTGGCTTTGCTCATAACTTTTTAAATACTGTCCAACAAATTGTAAAAACATTACATCAATGTTCAACAAAATTGTTAGATAGGTTTAATTGAATTCTCTTACATGATTGCCTCTAAGTTCACAAATGCATAATTTTGACCATACATTATAATAAACCATAATAATACAAGTCATAATAATTGCGATATTTGATATACACTAAAATAAAACACAAGAAATATAAAATATAAAATTTATTTTTATATAATGTTGTGTGTGCAATGTGCATGAGAGCCCGGTCGGCGTTACACATGCCTTATAAATGATAACATAGCAGCGGGCCCGGACAGACATTCGTGAAGTTAGCAATCTCACTTTAGCAGTTCTAATATTTTGCGAATATTTTTTTAATTTAAATGTTTTAATCATTATTATAAATAATTGTGATTAATTATTAAATTATTTATATAGTTAGATTCATTTCTATTATAAAAAAATTAATTTTCCTTTTTAGTTAACAATTGTATTGTTTTTTTTTTTTTTTAATTTTTAGACTTAGCTAAAATGATCTACGATTGCAAGAAACAAGGAAAATATTTTTAGATGTCGTACAATATTTTTTAAAATTCTTAGCAAAATAATTGATTATTGTTTACAAGTAGACATATTTCACACATTTACACAGTATTAAATAATTGTATTACATATTTTTAATTTATTAAGATTAAACCACTACAGTAGTCAATAGTCATACAACATTGCTGGAAAATGGAAACAGAGAAAATAATAAATAATAAATTAAAACAATTTATTTTTGCAATAATTATTTTATTATAAGTAAACAATAATAATTTCAATACATTTAATAACAAAAATATTTATCAGGTAACTTAGTATGATTACTTTGCTCGATAAAACAAAAAGCAGCAGCAGTACTGAACAAAAATTAATACTAGCTTATTGTAAGGACGATGCAATTATGTAAAATGAATGTAATATTTGTGAGGAATATTAATACTGAAATAATAACAATCCAGTCTTTAATTTTTCTTTGTTATAAATTGTGCAAAAAGCTAAACATATTTTATAAGTAACATTCATGATGGGTATTAGTCAAAATTAAAACAATAAACATAAAAAAGTAGGTTTAATAAAAAATAAACTTAACTAGTGTACCTACGTACTAATAGGAGTTAGACAAACAAACAAAATAATATTTTAAACATAGTAAGACAGAACGAGATCTATGCGCGTAAATAAAAATGAAATAAATGCAAAAAAAAGTATCACATATCCATTCGTTTATAGTAATAATTATGATGTTAAATTATTTAGAATCACAGACTTAATGTTTAGTAATTGGGTTTTTTTTTTAATTGCTTTTAATTTCAAATACCCTTAAAGTGCACTTTTATACTATTCATTAAAAATTAATGAACATAATATTATGTATATATTTGTATTAATTAAATTTAGGACAAATGTAAATGTTAGATGAGTAGTGAAACAATTTTAAAATAAAACACATCATATACAGGCGAGAAACCTGTATTTTATATAATGAGTATTTTTTGAACATACTGTGTTGGGTGGATATTTTATAAATAACAATTGAAACATATGCTAAATTATCATAATACATGTACTTGGACTGTTGCATTGCCGCATTGGTGATAAAAAAAAAAAA